TGACTGAGGATCAGACTGAGCCACTTGTCTGATTCATTTTCTTACCCTCTAACCTTCACGTAGGGCTCCTCCTCACGAAGACTGCCCACCAGCCACAGATGTGCACGGAAGGGCAGACGCCGGTGCAGGAAAGCGACAAAGCGAAGGCGATGCTATGCACAGAGATCCCTCACATGGACTGCAGGAGTAACTGCACCTTAGACATCCCACTAGTTCCTGGGCTGTACCAGTGAGAGGGGGTGGGGGGGTGGCTGGGCTGGGGGAGGGAAGGAAGGAAAGAGACAGGGAGGGTGGGGTTGGGGGTTGATGTGAGATAGAGGACGTAAGAACTCATGCAACGCACTGTAGTTTTGGTATGGCAAGCTCGTAAAACAAAAAATGAAGACATTGAACAGCAGGGAGGCCGCAGCTGGCTCTTGCCCTAATCGGGGGCCCCTCAGTGCCACATCTCTGTGGCCTGACCCATCTCCCGATGTCACTCTGGCAGCCAAGAGGAACCAACTGCAATGCAAGACAAGCAAGCCAGAATGTCCTGGGAGTGCAGAGTGAAAGCAAGGGGGTTTCCATTCTTTATTTGCCCCCCCCCCCCCACAGGATGGATAAACGAACTCAGAGAGAAGAAATAAGGGGTTCACGATGAGCGCCCCAGCATTTGGAAGCCCACGATCCTTCCTGATGTCTCAAGATATGCCAGCAGCTGTATCACCCTGCAACTCACCACTGGCAGCCCCACTGGAGCTCAGCAGTGTGAGCCTGGCCAGTACCTGGATGGGAGACTCCTGGGAAAGCTGAGGCTGCTGCTGGAAGAGGTGTTAGTGGGACCAGCAGGGGGCGCTCACCCTGCGGTCTGTGTGGGTCCTAATGCCCCAGTATAGTGATGGGAATCCTTCGGATGAGACATAAAACCAAGGTCCTGACTCTCTGTGGTCATTAAAAATCCCGGGGCCTTTCTTGAAAAGAGTAGGGGTGTTACCCCGGTGTCCTGGCCAAATTTTTAATGGTCTTTACCAATCATGGCCTTCTAATAATCCCTATCTCTGAACTGGCTTCATCACTCTGCTCTCCTCCCCACTGAGAGCTGGTGTGTGTGAGAGGACTGGAGCATCATCCAGGTGGGGGTGGAGGGGATCCCCATTACCTGGGAAGCGCTTTGAGTGGAGTGTCCAGAAAAGCGCTATATAAGTGTTAGCAATTCTTATTATTATTAAAAGTCAGGGGTCTGCTTACGGCCACAGCAGCTTCAGATCCACGCAGGAGGGCCCAATCCAACCTTGAGGGAGCTCATCTTTTTCCAGCCCTCTCCCTGGGCTGATAGTCCGGCTCCTGTTCTGGGCTGGAGAGATATCGGGAGCCCATGAGATCCAAGGGCAGAAGATTTCATTCTGTCCCATAATTGCAGTGCTCGTGATGCTGCCTGACCTGTAAACGGAACTGGAATAAGAAAGCAACTGGAGCCAGTACCCTAAGAGAACGGGAAAACGCTGGTCTGCCATCCCACCAAATCACATGACATCACATCACAGCCTCAGCGAATCTGGGGTTTGCTAGCCTACCTGCCTCTCAAAACAAAGGAACTTCTAGTTTTTAGCACTCTGTATGTATGATGCAGATAAAGGATTTCAATTATTTCAGAAGATCCTTTGCTGCTGATCGTTTCTGTACACTGCCTGTAAGCCTACACTTAAACTTTATAGACAAACACATGGGCTACATATTTCTTTTTTTTTGCTGGGTATACAGTATATGAGAATTGTTTTTTTCTTGTTTAACGGTTCTTTTACACCTGTGATTTTTAGTTTCCAGAACTGTTGCTTCGTGGAATATCGTTTGAGTGTGAAACATTTTGTGTTTTGGTTTTGGTTTAGACAAGAATCAGGTTTTTTTTTTTTAAGTGTAATAGAAATTGTGTAGTAAAACGCGATGCCGAAATCAACTTGTCGTGATGACTTTGTCTCGGAAGGGAAGAGCTGTTCGAGGTAGCGTGCGGGTCGATGTAGCCCCGACACCAGCGTCCCACCTGTTAAAACACTGCAATGAGAAACTCCAACTTGAATCATTCTGTGACGTCTTAAGGTCCAATGCCGTCACCACGTCTCCAGCACGCTGGATAGAAACTCAGCGGAGCTCAACGGTGATTCCAAGCAAAGACACTGCCCTCACACAGAATGCGAGGGACGGCAATCACGGCTCATCCACAACCGCGAATTAACAGCAGCTGCAGCAGCATCAGATCCGACTACAGAAACTAAAATGATCCTGCAGCTAGGATCACACCTTTCCCCTTCTCTCAGCGACGGTCTCATTTTCTCCTAATTCTCTCCTATTCCTTTTAGGCTTCATCTCACCTCTCTTATCACCCATCCTGACTTCACACCACCCGATTGGCCACCCTGTCTGTCCCCCTGCTCCCGTCTCCCACCCCTCCTCTCTCCCAGCTTTTGTTCTCCGGCTACATTACCTTTGCTAACTGCCCTGTCTTTCCACACCTGAAGAAGGCTCCACGGCTGAAATTTCCTTTCTTCTCTTTTCAGCCGGGGATAAACCTGTAACTTGTTCCCTTGCGGCCTACGCAAACCGCTCCCCCACCTGAACATCATCAGATCCATGTCATACTGTCCCCCACAGCGCAGTTCCTCCGAGCAGAGGTTTTTGCAATTGAAAAAAACAAAAAATCCCCAGCAATTAAACAACAGCGACTCGATCTGGCGCAAAGCACAACGGGTGTCACATTTCTTTTCGGGATGGCAAAACTCACAAAACTGCCCGTAAAAGGGGGCGATCCCCCAAAAAATCTGCCGGACCGGACTGGGGCCCTCGGCTATCAGAATATAAAAGATCGAGCAGAAGCCCCTAGCCCTGGTGCAGGCATTGTCACGACTGACGCGGGGGGGACAGGAAAACGAATAAGGAAACGGGAGGCCCGGATCGTGAGGTTGAGATTATTTATTTTATTTTCCGGGAGTGGAAAATGGTTCTCAGAGAGATAAACTTCAAACACAGTACAGGATCCCCCCACTCCTCCTCCACTAGTTGTCCGCTGTGCAGTAGCTTAGAATCAGACGCCAATCCCACACAGATCTAAGTCAGGTCTTTTAAAAATAGGAGTGAGGGGGCGTGGGTGGGCAGATCTGTTCCAGGCATGGCAGAACGCTGAGAGAGACGGCCACAAGAGGACAAAAAAGACAAAGAATATTAAGAGCGAGCGAGCGAGGCAGGACCGAAGGGAGGGGTGAGTGTCAGATTGTGTTTCTTAATGCTGTAAATTGGGCAGACAGCGTAGCTGAGCTGCAGCTTCTGAGCACATTAGTAAGACCGGTCCGATAACACAGACCGTTAACCAGAAGGATGCAAGTGGGGACGACAGATCTGTGCTGTTGACACAGAAAAGCCAAGGGGGGGGGGGGGGCGGCGCAGCTGTACACAAAGGGGGGCGGGGGTGTGGAACAAGCTGCCCAGCCGTGTTGTTCAAGCCGATACCCTGGCTTCTCTCGAGACACAGCCAGCCAGGACAGGAGGCGCTACTGTACACAGAGGGTGGCGGGGGGGTGGAACAGGCTGCCCATCTGTGTTGTTCAAGCGCATACCCTGGCTCCATTTAAGGAAAGGCTGGGAATCGTCAGACCGATGAGTTACAAACGTTAAGGCATTGAACTCGGCCCTCCCTGGCTGACCGCCACTGTCTTTTTGCTCTCGGATTGACTGAGAACAGCAGATCGGGTTCAGGGCTCCGTGCAGGAGTGTTAGCAATGATTACACCAGCTATTCCAACCATTAGATCTCATGCTAGAGAGAGCCCCTGGGGGAGTGGAGTTTGCAATGTGAACGCCACTGGCTCACTAGTCCAACCCCCCCACCCCCCCATGAGCTCCCACTGCGAGACAGACCTAGATCTAGCAGAGCACTGTCGCCCACTCATCCTGAAACACAAGACCGGCGCATTTCTGAATTCTCGCTAGGTCAGCAGCCCCTTCTCAGAAGCCTGATCACACAGCCAAGAAAAATAACGGAAACTGTGAGCCCCCCCCCACCACGCTCTGCTCCCTCAGGTGCTGGCGCCCCATTAGTGTCTATCTTCCCCCCTCCCCCCAACTTGAGTGTCTTTCAGACTGAGTGGCCCCTTTTCAAAGGATCCTGGGGCACCCTGCAGACAGAGGTGGAAGCCCTCAGGGGTGTGGGTTCCAAGTCCCCATTTGTGCGCTACTCCAGGGGCTCCCAATCCTGCTCCTGGTCTTGGGGAGCCCCCCCCCTCCCACACACACACGCCCGCTGCCTCTCGCCGCAGCCGAGCCCTTTACTGTTACCAGAAGTCAAGTCGCTGGCTCAGTGGAGACTCGAATGCCGAGCGAATGCCTGTAGGCCATCTCGGGCCGGTGTGATGGCTGGGGGGGCGGGCAGGGGGGGGTGGGCAACTCTGTCGAAGGGGTTAACATCTCAGCCTGTGGGTCCAGCCTGATCCGTTGTGCCCGCACTGCTTTACACAAAGGGTGGTGGGAGGGTGGAACAAGTTGCCCCAGTCAAGCTGTTGAAGTCGATGGCAAGGCTTCCTTCTAGACTTCTAGGTAGGAATCCTGCGATCAATGAGCTAGGAACAGCCAAACTACCACACAGGTTCCCTTCATTCAAGCATTTCTTCGAAGCGTTTTGCGAGCCAGAGGCCATCTGTCAGTTTGATGTTCAGGGCAACGAAGCTCCGGTCAAGAGTTCCCCCCGGCCACTGAACCTCTCAAGGCATGTCTGGAATCAGAATCGCAGACCTGCTGTCCCAGGGCCCAGCAGACAGGAGACGGCTGGCCATTATTTCATCTGTGACGTTTCCGGGTGTGTGCTATGACCCAGGGAACTGAAAATGGTGGTTTCCAATGGAGGGCATGAAAAGAAAAAAAAAGACCTGCCTCTCGCAAACTTTCAATTAAATAAGAAAATGACATCCCAGTACACGTTTTTTATGCACCTGTACTTGCTTTCCAATGAGACCATGAGCTAAAACTATGTTTCCCAATATGATTGGCTCATCCTGAAGCCACCCAGGCAGTGATTGGTTCACAATGAAGCCACCCAAGCAGTGATTGGTTCATCCCAAAGCCACCCAAGCATTGACTGGCTAACTGTAAAACCACCTAAGCGGTGATTGGCTAATCCTGAAGTCACTCAGGAGTAAGAGATGCCAAGCATGGCACAATCCAAAGTTTACAGACAGAACTTTGCAACATTCTTCCAGACTGGAAGTCCAGGTGAACACATTCAACCATGTCCCCTCCTGCGTGACCAGTGGGGCGTGTGAAGCACTTCCCCGAAGAAGGAGGAAAATCAGAGGCACCAGTGTCCTGAAGTCTGTTCTTTTCTCCTGTGGGGAAGCTTGTGTCGGCACCCATAGCATCCTCTGTCCCGCAAAACCAGCATGTAGTTAATGCAGTTAAAACCCGTGAAAGTCAAGGAGCTCGGTCATCATCTGGCAGGGTGCTTATAGATCAGCCAGGGTGAAGATCATCGTCCGGCCTGGTTTCAGATGCATCACGTGACGACAGCACTCACATATCCCACGGTGCGCTGCTCGGAGGTTCTGGCGTCCAAGCCCTCCCGAATGATGGCCAAGGGGGAGCCGGCCGGCTCTCCAACAACACCGAAAAGGAAATCGGCAGACCCAGCAGGCAGCAGCAGAGGTCCAGGGTCCGCCGGCGGGCTCACTGTACGCGCGCGGTGTATCTCTCCTCGGTTTGGAGCTGGGAGCTCCCTGGGAGCTGAGGCCGTCCGAGAGGCAAGTGCAACTCCGCCACCCTGCCCGGCGGACGGGCCGAGCTTACACACCCAAGGTGAGGCGGGGGGTGGGGGCAGCGCCTCGGGCTCCACGCATCTGTCCGTCGGCGTCCCTCCCGCCAAGCGCGATCACCTGCAACCCTGATCGTCCGCGTCTGGCCCCACCCTAACCCCGCCTCCCCCTCGGGGGGGGGGGCGGCAGTCTCCCAGCGGGTGCTAGGAATGATGGGAGCGCGTGTCTTCCACGGGCAGGTGATACTCCTTCCCTCTTTCCTGCACGGCCTGCCCCCCCGCCGCCTGCTCCTGCACCGGCGAGCTGCTCTCCTCCACGGACAGGGAGGGGGAGAGTGGGGAGCTGGCCGGGGGTCCGGGGAGCGCGCCCCCGGGGAGCTGGAGGTCCAGGTCGGGAGAGGAGGCCGGAGAGGGATTGATCACGGGGCCGTTGTAGATGAAGACGTTGCCGTTGACCGTCATGCCACCTGGGAACGACAGGGCCGACACTGACGAGACCAATCCCAGCGAGACCGTGCCCAAACGCTCTTTATAATCAGCAACACCGTTCATACCAGCACCTGCGCCTTCGCAGGCCCATAATGATACAATGATATGACGACAATGTTATTAATATTACGAAAAATACAGGCCAGGGGGGACAAAACTAGAAAGAAGAGAACTCAATGAGAAAAATCTCTCCTCACACTCTACAGACACTGAAGCACGGTTCCCTTAGACCACGTGAATGGAATATTTTCACCATCCGTCCATGTCTCACCGCTTTCACTAATACAGGGTCGTGGGGAGCCGGAGCCTGTCCTGGCCTGCAATGGGCGCGAGGCAGGGTACACCCTGGAAGGGACGCCTGGCCATCACAGGGCATACACTCACACCAGAAGCCAGCTAACCCTCCAGCCTGCCTTGGGCCTGTGCCGAGGAGAACATGCAGACTCCACCCAGACAGCACCCCAGGAATTGAACCCGGGGCCCCAGCGCTGGGAGGCAGCAATTCCGACCCCTGAATAAAGGCGAATAAAGGGAGATCCGAGAGGGAACGAGTCAGCTCGTTCGGAGCCATGTTCGGGGAAGGGAAAGAAGAAAGGAGACTTAAAAACGCAGGATAAAAAGAAGGACAGGTCGTGGACAAGACAGGGATGAAATGAAAGAAGAAAAAGCAAGAAAAGGTCAAAACGGCCAAAGTAAAAGGATCAAAGCAAAGGTGAAACCCTTCGGGTTTGAAGAAGCTGAAGAGGCCCTTACAGGCGAAACATTGTGTTTCTCTTCTCTCTCTCTCCCTGTGGGGTTCACCTCAGCTGGTCCTCTGCCGTAACTGTCATGCTCTGAGCGCTTATTCAGACATGCCCTAGTGACTCGCGACACACAGAGCGCTCGACTATGATGGGGGGGGTACCTGAGATGAGCGAGTGGTGGCAGGGCCCCGAGTTGAGTGGGGGGCTCCCCACGGGCCTGTGCATCTCGGAGGAGGAGGTGGGGGTGGTGGCGGCGGAGGAGGACGCGCACGAGTAGTTCGCACCCCCCGCTGGCACCAGCAGGCTCTGGGAGGTCACGCTAGAATTGTCAGGCTGTCTCTGAAACCAACCGCAGCAAGAAGATGGTGAGCAGCCTATTCTCACTTTTGTAAGATAAAATAACACTTTCACCAAACTTTAGGCATGCAATATTAAATGATCACAGTTACACAGTACAGTAGTTCCAGTCCAGTGATGTTAAACCAGTGCAGCTACACAGTACAGTAATTCCAGT